CTTTTTTCCTTTTACCGTTTCTATTTTACATTACTACCCCCACGAGTATCACTAATTTTATTGTTAGATTCTTGTGTTTGTTCTGTATTATCGAACACTTTGGTACTAGTTGATGTTTCAACTTCGTCTTCATTGTAAAACATTTTTTCTTAAGAAAAATTATTAATATAAATTGATTTTATTTTCTTTAATTCGTTAAATTAAGTAAACTACTCTTTCGGTCCGATATTACTCCAAAGCCGTATATTATTGTCTTCTATAATTTTACAAAACTTTTAGTGACATATATTCTAAATCTTTTTTTTTTTCTGAAATATATTTTATTAAATATCTAAACGGGTGCAAATCAATAATCATTTATAAATAAACATTCTGATAACGATCGTTACTTTTTTAAGACAAAAAAAAAAACATTCATTTCTTTTATTTCTCTTTCATACGGAATGTAAAATATCAGAATTGGATGTCTTATCCTCTAGCAAAGTACATGCGGGTGGTGAGCCGAAATCCTATTTAAAACACTGATATAACCCAATTTCGTTGAAATATGAGTAATTTATACAGTATAAAGTTACATAATTTGGTCTGATTTCAACATATTGTCATTCGTGTATATCGATATACGCCTTGTAATTTATCAGATTATCATAGTTCAACAAACTAGTTTGGACCAGACTACTTTTGATCCGGGTATAAAGCAATACCACGTCCCAAAGTTAAATTTTCCGAAATTTCTGAAATTATTTAAAAAACCGGTAAAAAATCAACACCCTAACGTTTAGGGAATAATTATATAAAGGGCAAAACTGTCTAATCGTGATTTTAAAAAAATGTCGGAAACTGCACAAACCACGTTATCGCCAGAGGCAAAAAAATTGTATTATGCAAAACTCGAACAAGTTATCCTTACCACGCATGAATCCTTAAAAACGTGGATAAAATATGAAAACGATTATAAAGCTTTGAAGACAACCTTGGAAGATTTGTCTCAAGAGACAGAATATAAAATTATGGTAAGGATTTTTTATTTTTTATTTTTATTTTTTTTTTACTTATTTATTTATTTGGGTTTCAGGTACCAATTGGCAAACTTGCATTTATGCCCGGAAAACTTGTTCATACGAACGAAATCATGGCAATGCTCGGCGACAATTGGTTTGCTGAACGTTCAACTAAACAAGCTGTTGGAATAGTTGATAGGAGATTGGAAAGTGCATATCTTTTTTTTTTTTTTTTTTGTGCATTAATATAAAATATCAAATAGCAATCGTTTGCCATAAATATTTGCAAGGATACAATAGGTAATCTGTTATAATTTATGATTTTGAATGTAGTGGTGAAGAAAACTATAAATGATCTGGAAATTCAACTTGAAAACCAAAAAACGAAGATCGGTTTAACATCCGATGTATTAAGATCTGTAAACATAGGCAAAGAGGTATTTTACTATAAAAAATTTTTTTATGAAAGAATGATACAACTCATACGCGTCGTTTTTTAATGACATAGGTAAATGAAGAAGGGTTACCTATTATAGAGATACAAGAAATTGAAGAAAATGATTCGAAAAGTCAAATAGTAAAGAATGAAAACGATAATTTAAGACAAAGTCGAAAACAAGTCGGTCAATCGCAAGGTAGCTTTATACGCTGCCATTATATAATACTTATTAACGATGTTTCGGTAATGCCGATGTAATCTACAAAATAA